TACTGGGTCATACAGTAAGCTGTATACAAGAAGCTGCCAGACTGTTTTCTGTAGTGGCTCTGCCTTGCATTCCCAGCAGCGGTGTAACAGAACTCCATTGTTCTACATCCTCATCAGCTCTCGTAGCTTTCATTTTTTCTCCTCAATGTTTGCCTTTCTAGTGGATGTGTATTGACATTTCCTTGTGATTTAAATTTGCATTTCTTTAATGGCTAATGATATCGAGCATCTTCTGTTATTTACCATTTGTATATTTCCTTTGGTGATGTGTCTATTCAAATCTTTTGAGTACTTTTTTTAATAGGGTTGTTTTCTTACTGTTCAGTTTTGAGAGTTTTTTATATATTCCAGATACAAGTCCTTTGTTAGATCTGTGATTTGCAAGTATTTTCTCACACTCTGTAGCTTATCGTTTTCACAGAGCAAAAGTTTTAAATTTTGATGAATTCCAACTTATCTGTATTTTAAATATTTTTTAAAAAAGATTTTATTTATTTATTTGACACACAGAGAGAGAGAGAGAGTACAAGCAGAGGGAATAGCAGAGGGAGAGGGAGAAGTATGACCACAGTTCCTTTAGTCTGAGAGGATTTCTCTGTCAGTTTTAGGTGCTTGCCCACTTAGTGCTGTTGCTGTCCCTTCTACCACAGGGTTCCAGCTTTGGGAGTGAGGCTTGCCTGGAGCAGGCCCAGAAGAGAATAAAGAAACAGTATTTCCCCTACTTTCTCCATCCTGTAGGACCACCCTTCTGCTCCTTAGCCCAGAAAGAGAGGGCTTCTCTTGGAGTTCTTTCTGTCTGTGCCCAGAGCACACTTCTGTGACTTACACTGCCTTGAGTTCAAGCTGGAAGATATGGAAGGAAAAAAACAAAAACCAAATCAGGAAACCCTCTTTGTTTATATTTTGAGTATTGGTTTACTTCCCAATCTACCTGCTACCATTTACTTCTCAGAGTCCTCAAATAGCTACTCTATGCATTTTGTCTGGAGATTTTAGTCACATGTGGTGGGAGAGACAGTGTACTTACTGCATCGTACCCAAGACCATAATCCCAAATCTTTAACATACTAAAAAGTAGAAGGAATTGTACAATGAACACTTACACATCCATTGCCCAGGTTGATAGCATCTTTTCTTTTACACAGCATGTCTGAGGATCGCCATGTTTCTAATATATTAAATATACTACTGGTTTCTGTCAGAGTGTAAGCCAGTTATTCCTGAAATGATGAAGAGATGTTCTACCAACTCACTCTCTTTGAGGCTTTTCCAAACATACATTTGGAAGCTAGCATCAGCTTTTTTGTAATTTGGCGTTGTGAGATTGAAATGCTGTCAGATGGGAAATATGGTATTAATACATATATATTCCAGATGTATCTCTGTACTCCACCTTGAAAGTTTCACTCAGTTTAATATTTCTATAACTTAATTATTCACAGTGGTATTAGAACGTAACTAATAAATTGCTTTTTATAATTCAGGCAATGCTGTGTTTGGTCAAACTTTCTTTATCTGGGTCATGAGCCTTGAGTTTGACTTGGCAGATCTGTCTTCTAACACCTGTTTGTAAAGAGCCAGAAATTGAACCCCTTCACCATCAATATTTATTCATTGCCTGCTGTGGGTAAGTCTCAATGCCAACTACTGGGGATTTAACAGCATTTAAGTTCTTGTTACTCAAAGTGTCGTCCTGACACCAGAAACACTGGCATTTCCTCAGAGCTTGACATGCAGAATCCCAGAGCCTACCCCAGACCTCCTGAATCAGAATCTGTGACTTAACAAGATCCCCAGGTGATTGTGTCAGGAAGCACTGGCAGGAGATACAGTCCCTGCTCAAAGGGGTGTACAGTCTATTAAGGGAGCAAGGACCAAGACCATTGACATGATGTATCTTTCAAGGCACTGCAAGCTAAGGTTCAAATGCATGGCCCAGGTGCTGAGAGCTTCAGGTTCAAAGTTGGTGGCATCCCTGAATCTTGGGAACAGGCACACTAGATAAATGGAGGCTCTTACTCCAGATGTGAATCAAGGATCCCAGATGGAGAGCAGGTGGTGCTTAGAGGATAATGACAGGCATCAGCTCTCAGAGCTTCTTATCTCTGGGAAGGTACTCCCATGCATGTGCTCCTCAGGGGAAGTTAATGACCTTCTCACTTGTGATCACACTGATGATAGGGACAGAGCGTCACCAACGGTGGGCCTTTTACACTTTACAGAGCATTCTGTACACTCTGAGTGTAATCCATGACACATGCTCACAAACTGTCCTAGGTATGTCAGTTTCATGTCACAAGACATAATTTTATGAATATTTTTGTGAGGGAATTAACATCTGTGATCAGTGATTCTTTTCCTCTGAGGAATGATGGCTCCACTTGGAATATATGGCTTCAAATATATGGAATATAGGAGTTCAAAAATAGAGCTCCTATCAAAGTGTGATTTATCTTCTATCAAAAATATTTCTGGGGGTGCCTGGGTGGCTCAGTTGTTAAGCATCTGCCTTCGGCTCAGGGCATGATCCCAGGGTCCTGGGATCGAGCCCCGCATCGGGCTCCCTGCTCCGCGGGAAGCCTGCTTCTCCCTCTTTCACTCCCCCTGCTTGTGTTCCCTCTCTTGCTGTCTCTCTCTCTCTCTGTCAAATAAATAAAATCTTTAAAAAAAATACTTCCGACCTCTTTTTTGACCATATGTGAAACTGGATTTAGTATTCCTGAATAGAGACCATTAGTTTGTAGAGAAGAGTAATTAAGGAGTAGAACTGTGTTTAGGGCACATTTCTTGAAAAACCTCAACTGGTTGTTGTACATCATTAGTCCTTGGGGAAAAGTGCAGAAATTGGTGAGCATTTTCTGCATATTGGGATTGTAAATATGTAAATAGGCTTAAATAGACTAACTCACTGGGTAGTGTGGCAGCTGAAATGTAAATTTTATAGAGTATGACATTTAAAGCAGGGTTTATCAATAATGGCCCTATGACATTTTGGTCAGATGATTTTGTTGTTGTTGTTGTGGGAGGCTGTTTGGGATTATAAGATGTTTTGCAGTATCTCTGGCTTCTACCCACTAAATGCCAATATCTCCACTCAGCCCCAGCAATCAAAAGTATCTTCTGACATCTCCAAATGTCCCCTGGGGGCAAAATTGCCCCCCTGTCCCCCATTGAGCACAACTGATTTAGAGTTACACCTCAATAATCTGGGACTTCCTTTTCACTTCTTCGTATCTGTACTTCCCCGAGAAGAAGAGAATACGTTAATGCAGTTTCTGTGGTAGCCAAAGTAAATGCCAAAAGGCAAATGAAAGTGCCCCCCACAGACCCTCCTTCCTTGTTGATTTAGTCATATTGTATACATCTAGCAAACTGGTTTCGTGGCTTACAAATAAAGTCGATTAAGAGATGCAATAAGATGTGCTGAGAAGGCTTACTTTTTGGAAGGATGGCATTTAGAAGGCATTTAGAAGGACTTCAACAGAGCAATGGATGATTTTTTGACAGAGATAAAAGGAAACAGAGAAGCAGACACAGGAACTTACAGATAAGGAACCTGAGGCTGAGTGTTAACTAGAACATAGTACTTGAAGTAGGAGAGCCAAATTGGAGGTCAGTTTCTTTTGACTCTACAGATCATGCTCATAAGGTATGCTCTATATTACTTCTCTAACTTGGGGCCTAGGATGCAAGTCCCAGCTTTCCCAGTTTAGTACCCTCCAACTCCACCTTCCTGAGATAGCCAGTGTTAACTGCTGGCTCTTTCCTTTCACACTTTTCTCCTGCTCATTCAGTCTACAAGTCTAACTGCCCACAGCGTCCCTAAGGGTCAGTAGGTCCTTACTGAGTCTCTCTCAGTCTATTCCATGCATGTGTACATGCACATGCACACCTATATAATTTTTATAGAGAGAGTATTTCAAATGATTTATATATAAGTAGGATTCTTTTTATAACCTTAGTTTTCTCTGTTTTTTCTTTTTTGTGCACCTGCTCCTTCTCCAGTAACTACATTTAACAATGCGGAGAATGTGTGTTTATTTCTGTACTTTTGCTCATGCTCATGTAATCATATCTATATTGGTATCGAGCATCCATCTACCTACGTGCCCACCTTAGACAGATATAGATACATACGTGTACACACATGAGTTTTTGTCATTGCTTGTTTTATAAAAAATGGGATTATATTTTTTTGTGCATCTTATTTTTCACATTTAACAGCTACCTCATGGAAATCTCTGCAAGTCAGTTTTTATAGCTCTAACTCTTACTTGTAATGGCTGCTTGATGTGATATGACTGCGCCCTAATTTGCTCAGCATTCTTATATTGATGGACATTTACCCTGCTCTCATTTTTAAGGGTTACAATTAATATCCTTGTTTACATAACATTAGGTCCTAAAACTCATTTTCAGGGGATAGATTCCTAGTAGTGGGATTGCTGGTTGAATTGAAAATTTCAATAGTCTATTGCCAGATTGCTGAAACCATAATTGTTCATTTCCACTAATACCTTAAGAGAGCACCTTTTTTTGGTCCACTTTTTCAGTTGGTTTAATTGCCTTCTTTTTGTTGATTTGTAAGAGGCTTCATGTATTAGAAAAAGTAACCATTTATCTTTATTAAAATACATTTTTAAAGATCTATCATTTGTTTCTTGACTTTATCATCTTTCCTTTTATAACTTGTGGATCAAGGCGCTGTACCTTACAGTCTAGATTTTCTTCTAGTATTTTTGTGTGCTTTTGTGTGTGTATAATATGATATAGGATTTAATTTTATTTTCTTCCCTGTAGAAAATGACTTGTGCCTGTAGCACTTATTAAATGTCTTCCTTTTCCCCATAGAATTGAAGTATCACATTTGCTGTATATTAAATTTTTTCCCTATTTGTTAATTTTTAACACTTGAGTATTATCTTGGCCTTTGTTAACTGAGGTAGTGTGTTGTAGCTCATTCCAGTGACAGACGCTTTTCTTTTCTCTTCTTGGGGAAGCACGGCTTGACAGTAATTCACCTTGCAGCCTGGTCTGGAAGTCTCGAGATCATGCTCATGCTCATTAGAGCTGGAGCAGACCAGAGGGCCAAGAATCCGGTAGGTATATGGGTCACACCTGGACATAGTTCTCACTGCCCCAGTGCAGGATGGGGAAGTTCTCAGATCATTGTGTATATATGTCCCCCCACCTTGGCTCTCTTGAGGATGGAATGAATGCCCTCCACTTTGCAGCTCAGAGCAATAATGTACGCATCGTGGAGTACCTCATTCAAGATCTGCATTTGAAGGACCTGGACCAGCCTGATAAGGTGTGTTTGCTATAGTAGGAGAGGTCCTATGCATACGCCACCAAATTCCTCTTTCTTCCTACTCCTGCTAGAGCTGCCAAAGCAGCCAGCACAGACAGACCTGGCCCTGTAGCTAGCTCCTCCATCACTCTGGCAGAGGACAGAACAGATGAGAGGTGTTGGTGTTGGTGGTGGCCCAGGCATCTCATGTGGGAAGGGCAGGAAGTATTGAGCAAGCATCCAGATTCTTTTTTCCCTCTCTGTTCCCTCATCCTGGCTGATTGTGGACAGTATCTACCCTGTTTTGTATTCAGAATGTATGTTTGCATTTTACTCCATTGTGCTTGGCCTTTTGGGAGTATATTTGATCCAAGACTATGCAGTAATGGAATCATGGAATATAATGCAGTGTTACCATATTTGCGTACATTCTTTTTCTTTTCATAAGGAGATATATACTAATAACAGTCACCACTTATTGAGTATTTATTAGTGAGCTAGGTACAGAGGAAAGCTATTTACATACATTATTTCATTGAGAGGTCTAGGGCCTGGTGTATATGGATGCTTAACAAATCATTGCTGAATGAATGAATTATCCTGTTAATTCCCATAATTCCCATAATCATATACAGAAAGATTTTGCTTATTTTAAAGGTGATGAATTTGAGGTTCAGAGAAGCTAAGTACCTCGTCCAATGTCCCAAAACTGGAAAGTGAGAGCTAGGATTTGAATTCAGGTCTAGCTGACCCCAGTCACCATGCCGGCCTGCTCTCCTGTCTCCCTTCTCAGATGGGCATTCCCTATGTGCCAGGGACTGTCTTTTTCCTGGAGTATCTTCTTCTAGGCTTTTCTCTCCCCTATTCTCTCTAGGGGAGAATACCCTGTGAGACTGACCTTTTGATTTCAAATGGGACCTCCTTTTCACTGTGCCTAGAACATTATTCTCCATAAAGTCTCTCCAGAAATTAAGCAGTAATACCTCATTTCACCTCTTGTAAAGAAACTTTCACATTCTTTTCTGACCTTAGTCTTTTTTAAAAAGATTTTATTTATTTATTTGACAGAGAGAGAGAAAAAGAGAGAGAGCACAAGCAGGGCTAGTGGCAGGCAGAAGGAGAAGCAGGCTCCCCACTGAGCAAGGAGCCTGATGTGGGGCTCCATCCCGGGACCCGGAGATCATGACCCGAGCTGAAGGCAGGTGCTTAACCGACTGAGCCACTCAGGTGCCCCTGAACCTTAGTCTTAAAAACAACAACTCTTTCTTCAAATGAAGTCTATAAATTTGTTTTACTTCCTCTGAGAATGACTGAGCAACATTTACAGCTTAGAGACAGACAGACTTGGACTGTGGTCTGGGCATATATATTAGCTATGAGCTTTAAGCAAGTTTTCCAACTGCTGAAAGCCTCAGTGTGTGTAAGGGATGATTGGGGAGGGGGGCTGTTTTGGCTTCCATATAATTTTTATCAGCAATACCTCCATGGTTTCATATAGATGATTGATATTTCCTCAGTTTTATGTAAAAAAGTCTATGCCATTGAACTTCATTGTAAGCCATTCTACCATCCCTTTCCAGTCACACACTACCCCTAAGCTGTTCCTATGTAGCAATGTTGGAACAGCCACTGTTGGGATGTTTGAATGAGTTAGTGAGTATAAAGCACTTAGCCAAGAGCCTGATACATGGTAAGTGCTCACTAAATGGTAGGTATTATCACAATTATTATAGGATAAAATACCCTGATATCCTCAAATTGATAATCATAGTCAAATAGTGACACAGTGAGGAAGTTAGATCATTCTAGTTTGGATTGATGCTAAGTAGGGATGAGACCTGTGAATGAATTCCACTCAGTTCAATTTAGCAGATCTTTGTTGAGGGCCTGTTATCTAGGAGACCCATGACAGTCTTCCCTTTCAATGGGCTCTGGCTGATATCACAGGAGACAGCAGGGTGTGGGGAGGATCAGGTAAGCTGAAGGGGTTCAAGGACCAGAGCAAGTTTCTGGGAAGTCTTGGCCACATCTGCAGCTTCTGCTGGCCAGCAGCCTTCTTGGCCACCATCTCTTTAGCTGGCTCCGGGGTTGTCCTGTCCCCGCCTCTCTCCCTCCTCCCCTGTCTGTTGGGGAAAAGTGCGGAGGAGTCTTGGCAGCAGACTGTGCAGACATGTCCAGCTGAGAGATGTTAAAATTAAGATGGATTCAGAGACATATGAGGAATGAGCAAATAATGAGTCCCCTGGCTCATTTAGGGAGAGAAGAATCTCTGAGTCCAATTTTAGTTCTGTAAGAAACCTAGATGGATCAATGCAAAAGACAAAGTCTTCTCTTTTTCTTAGATCTGTGAGTAGGTCAAGGATGTTGGCAAAACCCAGTAGGATCTGGGATCAGGAGCTCAAGGTGTATTAATTCATCATTAGATTTTTCCATCTGTGTTTGCTTAAAAGTACTGTGGAACTCACTGAATACATTTGATAGAAATGACTGCTACACCTTCACAGCTGGCTCTCTTGCCTACTTTCTTCTCAGCAGAAAGTGATGGAGAGCCTGCTGACCTGACCAGCATTGGCAAAATTCTCTTTAGCCCAGAGGGAACTCCAAAAGCTAGCAAGGAAAGCCTTGTGGGGAGGAGGTCTTTATTAATAAAAGAGATTTAACTAGGCCCAGGAGAGTGTGGGTGGGGATGAGAGAGATGGAAGACACTGAAAAATATTTTGAGGTTTCTTCCAGCTCCGTGGCCTCTCCAGGGGAGAGAGATTAGAGCAGCCAGGAGAAGTTATTGGTAAAGTAGTATAGATGTTTTGAATCTACATGTGAACTTCCATCTAGTGGTCAAAAATAAGTACTCAAAATGTTTGGGGTGGAGCAGGGGCAGAGAAAGGAATGGCCTTAGAGTATATGAATAGTTGTTGAATATTTATAAGAGTTTGGTGGTACCCTGTTAGGTTGGTTTCAGCTGCAGACTTATGGGAACTTCCATTGGTTTAAAGGAGTCTTCTAGGAAGCCTTTAGAGATCAAAATGCAAAGAAGCTTCCCTTTTTGGAGGGTTGGGAATAATGAGCATGAGGGGATTTGGGAAGACATACCTTCTTATATGGACCTGAAGCCAGTATTTGAGGGCTCCAGTGTGCAAGGGGGGACCTTACCCCACCCACCCTAGTTTCGTGACTGCATATTTAACACACTGCTCCTTCAGCACTTTTTTTTTTTTT